TTTTTGGCGTGGGCGTCGGTAGGTCGGCGTAAAAAAAATTCCAACATTTTTATATTTATGTTTCCTTTTTTTATAATATTTTTATAAGAGATAACTTAAGAACAGAAGCGCATTGCTCATTGAGTTACTTGTTGTTCAGAAAGATTTTTATTTACATTTTAAAATTAGAGAAGGCAGGTTTTGGAAACAATGTAGACATTGCATAATTTAGGGAAACAAAAATGTTCAATGTGAATTAAATTATCAAACCAAACGGTATTCATTGTTAATGAATTAATTTCACGCTTATGATAAGTATTATTAGTCTCAAACTCAAAATACACTCATAAAGTGGATTTAACTTATAGTTTGTTTTACATATCTTCAAATGGAATGTAATTCATTGTTAAAGCAGTATTTTGACACCAATGATTAGAAAAAACCGAAACTTAGAAAAAACTCAAAATACTCATGATGTTTTCCAATAGCTTTTTACTGAATGAAATGATTCAATATAATTTATTACAATATAATTTATCATATATAAGTAATAAATATAATTTATTACAACTGTCAACATTTATTTCAAAATGTTGGCTTCATTGCCATTTGCTTTCTAAAGATTGGTGTAGAAAAATAATTCGACCTGATTTTTCCACCCATTGGTAAAGGGTTTTGTTAGGAGGTTGTTAAAATCATTCAAATTTTCTTCAATATTGATTCTACCTTTTGAGAATAATTTCAGACTCTCTAAACTCTTAATTTTGTTTTTCTCCCTTCAGTTCTGTGGATCACGTCTTGTTCTTGCTCTTGCTTAAGATTTTCTTAAGTTATTGAATTACCCACCATTTGTCTTTGGAGAAAGTGTTACTTTATATAACACAGTATTCCTATGATAAATAAATAATGATATTGTCAGGTATCATATTCTAAAATATTGATACCTGACAATATCTTTATTTATTTATCATTTAATAAAAAGATATCTATTCACCAACAATTCATTACAGTATTCCTACTCAAACACCAATAAGCTTCTTTCCCTCAGCTTTTCTGTAGCCAATACTGATTACTCAATATACCAACAATTATTAAGACATACTGGTGAATCTGCGGGCTATATTACTAAGAAACCGAATGTTACTGACAATGTTGAATCAATGTTGGTGTATGAGTATTGACTTTGGCAACTCTCTGTAATATTAGCTGGCAGTCGTAGCCAATGAAGAAGAACATTTTTGGAAAGGATTTTTTTACACTCTTCAGATAAATGATTCGGAACTAAAGGACTCGTTTCCCAATTTCCAAAGAAATATTCATTTTGCCAGACAAAAAGGGTTTTCATAAATTAGTACAAAAGTTAACATAATTGCCTCAAAAATGAAAGAAACATCATTCGTTACGCTTTCAATTCTTTGTGTAAATAGCATTTGCTTATTGACGGTTATCATTGTTCACTAGGCCTTAATGTGTTCAGGCGTTTGTTATGTAGACAGGAACCACTTGTGCCGTCCCACCTGGCCGAGGTATTTTGCACACAATTGCAGCACGGTGAGCTTGCTTTGCTTGCGTCAAGGAGTAGCACACGTGCAATCAGTTGCGTGTGTTTGTGTGTTCGGATATACCATGTGCGTGTTAGTGTGAAGAATAGGAACGAGTGCTTCATCATTCAAAATAGGCCTCATCAGTGATTCACGTGGAAAAGAAACTCGGAACACCGTGCATCGCGGCTCGAATGTGGGTTCTTTATCTGAAGGTGATAGTGGCAGGTGTTTATAGTCGGATCAATAATGAACGGCGGCGGAGGGCGGTGGCGGGGGCGGGAGTGGGAGCCGCCCCTCGCAGCCGACCACCTCCACGCCGCCCGAGCACTTAGATCCACTGCGGGCCCACATGCTATTTACTCATTGGAAAAACTAATTGAGCTGACGTACTTGTGTATGAAGTGTGGTTACATAATGCACACATAAGCAAATTGTTTAAGTCAATTTTAAAAGATGATGTAATGCAACGCATGACAATAAGATCAATGCCACACAGAGCAGAGTTTTGTACTTGTTTGGTGGTTTGGCGGTTTGATGGTTTGATGATTGATTGTGATGATTGACGTATTGGGTTTTGCTACGTTGCTTTAAGTGGCTCTCTTGTAACTTGTAGAAATGGAAGGTTTTTGAACACTATTTGTGGATCAAGTGCATTCACCATTCCTGGTTTTCATTTTATATAGATTTTCAAATAATTTTAAATATTCTTTTTATTTAATTTGACTTTCTTCTATTTAGTTTTCTTGTTTTGCACATGTCCGTAATGAACCTTCTTTAGAGAGAAAAGATTCCTACTGTTTTGTAGGTGAGGATTACATTGCATCACTGTGTTTCTGTTGTGCACACACAAATAATATATAGAACACAGAATTTGCTGTAGGCTGTCATCCTGAATCGGAAGGAACATTATTGAAAAGGTTGTACATTGTTTGATATCCCATTAAATAGTATGGTGTAATAACATCTCTAAATTTCAGACTGTACTTCATTTGTTCAATAGGAGATCTAAGTTTTAGTGCAATTAAGTGCTGGGTGTAGATGAACAACTATATTGCGAGAACAGTTGTCAGTAAGTTCATTATTATTAAGGAATCTCGAATGAATAATCAAAGAGTTCTAGACAAAGGATATTTTGCTTTGATTAGTAAGCCATGCTTTTAGTATTTTATAATTGCATGTATTTAGCGATCAACGATGAAAAGCAACTCATCAAAACATTAACCCCATGACAAAATATAATGCATTTTGAGTGATCGTATTACAAGATTAAACATATTCTGCGATGATAATTGTATTTTATCCACTGTTAAAATGAACGTAATATTCTTTGATTTGGCGTATATTTTGGTTTGTTCAAAAAAATCTCAGCTTGTATAAATTAATGTTTATACGTGGTTCTGGAGCGCTTATTCGTTCAATTGTTGTTGCGGTAAATTTCTAGTCGTTATGTAAGTTATACCAACCTCCTTGATGGTTGTTATAATTCTGGTTGCCACCTTATAAGGAACTGTGAAGACATTTCTTATTACTCCATGTTGGGAAATACAAACCATAATGATAGTAAATAATTTTTTTTAGTATCAAAATGTGTATACTGTAATATGTGTACATGTACTGCAAGTATCTACAAGATTTGGGATGATTTAAAACTAAAACTAGAAGAATTAGTTTCTTCACTCAAATCAACAAGACTTTTCGATTTCTTTCGCTGTAAATCCGCATGATACCGTAATGCACAGTTTGTTATGTGAGTGATAACCCTTTCTTGTAACCCTTGTAGCATCAAGGGTTGGGCAAATTTTACCTTCATATTTTTTATTAGTTATTCAAATACCCTCGAGAATAATTGTTTTATATCATTAAATCAGTGATACTTAAGCTTTTTTTAAAGAGCTCATACGTTTGTAGAGAACAGTTTAAAGATTCCATACCCTTCCTACACGTATTTCTTCTCCTGGTGTCAACTGTTGCCTCCCCCATTATCTTGGTATTCCTTGATACATCAATTATACAGAATGGCTACAAGTTTATGTTACATCGCAAGAAAGTGTTTTATTAGTCAGGTGTCCAGTGTCACAAGCTAAAATCGCAGTGCGCTGGAGGCCAGTGTTTAATTTATTAGCATAAAGGTGAATTTTAAGATTTAAAAAAATGATACTAATTCAAGGTGATTTAACTACAACTTGTTCTTAGTGCACTTCCATTTACTTCAAAGTGTTTAAATAATAATATGTTTCTTGTTTTCAATTTTTGTGCGAAACATTTTTTTCTTACATCTTTATTGCCTGTTCTAAAATTGTCGTATACTTAAAATCGCAAAAATATATGAAAGGATAAAAGTTGCATAATATCCACCAGGTCCATAAATAAGCCAATATGGTTTTAATTTTTCTACAGAAGCCACACATGTTTTATCTTTTTTTTTATTATTTTTTAGTTGAAAATTGTTACAGAAATTCAGGCATGTTCCCAAGAAATGTGGATTAATTTAAAATACTGTTGAAAATTACTTCATAAAACTAGTATGTTATTTCAGAAACATGACTTTTTGAATTCAATTTAAATGTAGGAAATAGTGATTTCTTACTAGAGTTATTTTGATTTTTTGCCATTGTTAGCTATTGAATGCTCGTAAATATGTATTGTATCTCTAAAAGAAACTATAAAAGAACGTGTTGCTTACGAAAATCATTGGTTTTTAGATGGTTTTTATATTGGCAATGTACTATCGTTCTTTTTCTGGAGCACTTTGTTAATAAAATGCTGTTTTATAAAAAATACGTGTACCTAAGATATCGGGTAAATGACATTGTGTATTAATGTATGGTGGCAAGAACATATTATTTATTGTCAATATATAAGGTTATAACCGCAGCCTACTACTTGTTAATTGGAGAATGCCGAGTTTGAGAATTTGGTATTTCCTGAAAATTTAGATGATAAGCTTATTATGTTCCGGGAAACATTTATCACAAATGTTCACAATTTAAAAAAAATAATTATAAAAAAACCAAAGCTTAAAACAATGTGGATTTGCAGAAAAGAAATTTTATTCAAATATTTGATTACTCAAGCATCTTGATACGGCATACTGGAGTGTACTTCGTATAAGCCTTGTGGAAGAGCAAGATAACAAGACCGGTCAGAAAATACTTCCAGTTTTTGCTATATGCATGCTACATCAGATATTTAACAGTACTGACAATCAGTATTTGTACGATTTGGGATCATTTAAAACACAACAAGAAATGCGTATTGTTGTCACAAGGATTAAGACCACTTTCGTTGGTTTTTCTCGTGCTACTATTCCTGATGATACCCTATTACAGTAACATATAACTTTGCCAGCTATTTATGATGCAGTTAGCTCGCAATTTATTTGAAAAGATAGCATCATTCTATATCACTTGTCGTACTTTGGCGTTGTCCGAAAGTAACGTGGGCTAACGATCGCATTTTCTTCTTTTTTTGTTCCAGATCTCGCGGCAGTCGATCGACGCTTGCAAAGATTACTTCCGCGACGACCTCATCAAAACAGACTGGCAGCTCATGGTGGAGCTGAAGAAGCTGTTCCAGATTTTGTAGCCCCGGCCATGGGTAGGTATCTCGCCGGCCCGGGCCGGGGCCAGCGCCGGCGCGGCGGCGGGCGCACGGCTCCCGACTCGGCCCCGTCTCCACCCCGCCCCTC